ATAGAAGCCCATATAGAAGCCCAATAGAAGCCCATGTCCTATTAGAATCCTTTTCAATAGGACCCGTTGAAGAATAAAAGTCTATACACAGAGAAGTTCATGCCCTTTTAAAAACCCACTCAATGGGACCACTCAATGGGACACTTTAAAAAATACTCGCCTAGGGTCTCTATTACGGTATATTTAAAAATGTAAATTACCCCATGTGGCTTCAATGAATTAAGATACTACAGCGAGTTAATTATTACAGTGAGTTCCTTAGTGTCAGCAAGGAAAACTACTTTTTATTGGTCAGGAGCCCCCCCCCCCTAAGCAGGGCTGTATCCTTATTAAATACTAACAAGGAAAACTCACGAACCAGGGATGAGCGCAAGAGACAATCTCAAATAACGCAAAACGCAATGCGCTCACCCCTGTCACAAACTGTAATTCGAAATTTTGGGCTTTTTTGGGGCACAATTTTAGTAATATATTACTATTTTTAGCAGCAACGAATTTAATTTGATATGGAATTATACTATTATTCAGATCAAATGAAGTAATTAATACACTCACAGATTCAGTTTTACTTCTTACAATTAAAGGATATGAATTAAAATCAGAATATCTTTCAACTCTAAAAATATATAAAATGTAATATGAATGGTAACTTAAATTAAAACTTTGCCAACTGTCCTCCTTGGTCTTCCTCGTAACGATTAGGAAAACTTTCAGTTTCAAAAATCTACAAAAAAATTTTAATTGTTAATTGTTTATTCAATTTGATAAGAAATTATACTATCATGAAGAACTCCCGACAGGGTGACCATTTTACCTTATTTATAGGGCATTTGCCCTATTTTTGAACTTTTCGCCCTATTTTTTCCCTATTTTTTCATTTGCCATATTTTTGCCCTATTTTTTCCATTTTGTAATATTTCTAAAGTTTTTTGGGATTTTCTAAAAAAAATGATAAAAATGAAGGATTTCTGACTTCCTGGCCTCCAAAACTCTCAAAATTTTTGCCTGCAGCGCTAAAAAATGAAGAAATCTGGCTTTTTGACCTTCCAAAATTTTAAAAATTTTTGCCTGCGGCGCTTAAAGTGAGGAGGTTACTCGCTTATTATTATAGATAGCTACGAAAAGGATGAAATTCGGGATTTTATTCAGTCATTTGGACGTTTTTGTAATGAAATAGCTCGAAGTTGGTCAGCATTGGAGGCTTTTTTCGATCTGAAAGCAAGTGCCGAAGATTTATTGGAAGAATATTTTTTGATGAATCAACTCTTACAGCATTTTCTGTTCTTAAGATGCAAAAACTAGTCAGAGAATGATTTTAATTGTACTTAGGCATATGATCTCTTTATTTCTGATCCCGACTTGCTCAATTTTGTGAAAAAAGGTTCAAAACAAAGCTTATTTGAAATTTTAATTAATTTTAAGCTTTTAAAATATTGCCCTATTTTTTGCCCTATTTTTGACCAATTTTGCCCTATTTTTGACCAATTTTGCCCTATTTTTGCCACATTTTTGAGTGGCCGCGCCCTATTTTAGTGGTTTGGAGATGGTCACCCTGACTCCCGATGAAATTCGATAATAGGAGATAATTGGGATTTTGAAAAAAATCAGAGTTTGTTTTGAAAAACATGAAACTATAAGCTAATTAATCTAAACATTAGCGAAAGAAAAAGTAAGAGTAAGGAAATGGACAACAACAAATTCGCACTAAACGATAGGTGTTGGATGGCTGAACGGATTAGGCCATATTTTGGAGCGTAGGGCCCTGAATCGAGGGACAGCAATCCAACTCGATTTTTCGTATTAGCAGTTGGTACCTTTAATCCAAATTTTGAAGTTCTGCTGGCACTGTTGATTGTAAGCTTTATTTCTAGTGTAGAATTTATAGAGAATATGCATGTCTGTAAATATCCAAGAGGAAATGTTGGAAGACGTTGAGGAGAATTTGTTGCGAAATAAAAAGGTTGTGGACATGGATGATGAATACTATTGTTTGATTTAAAAATAATTTAATAAAATATAGACTAATATTTTTCTAAGATTGTGGCCTTATTCGAAAGATTGAATTGAGCATCTAATTTTAGTCCAAAAAAGACTCTATCGGCCCGATTCGATAAAAACGATGCTCGAAAAATTGACTCGAAACTCGGCCCGATTCGAAAACCCCAACCCTAGTCTTGTCCCAAAGACTAAAATTTTTGATCAGCTTACCAAGACAAAGAAAAAAAAGTCTTATATTATGGTATACATATAATTTTTAGTATCTTAGTGGTAAGTATAAAGTTATATATAACCTATAAGCTTTGATAAAAAAATTTAACAGACCCATCTTCAGATCGTCGAGAAAAACTAATTCCAAATCTGCGACTATTGTCCGAAAAAAGTTTATAATATGAAGAAAGTTTGAATAAAAGTCCGCCATTAATTGAGGATGAAAATCTAAAGTGCTCCACAGGGACATTAACATTACCTCTGAGGCTGAATCAGAAATTAATTTTTGTCTTAAAACAATTTGCAATTTTATAACCTAGCCTGTTTAACTTTCATTAACTTTGAACCATTCCACTTTGTTTGATAAACATCCAAAATGTCATACTTTGATCCAAAATTATCATTAGTAGCCTTCAATAATTTGAACTTTGCATAAATAAAGCTATTTTTTGCTGGTGGGATGTGCCACATACACTCAAATAAACCACAGTATTCGGCGGAGACTATAATGGAAAAATAGTGTTTAAATCAGAATTAATATAATATAATTTTGATGTTCTGATTTTTAAATATTCTTATTTTAAAAGATTATTCCAATACTCACATCCAGTGCTGTTGAATACACTTTCTGTCAAATTACTAACAAAAATTTCATCATTAGGACAGGGACATTCATTATTGCTATCATAAGTTTCATAATATTCATCTGATTCACTACTATCGGCATATAAAGATTCAACAAAATTAATGGAAATTAATAATTGCAATATAAGCAAAATAAATATTGGCCTATAGTAAAGCATTTTTAAATAGTATATTCTGATAATTAAAATCAGACTTATCTTTTTATCTGAAAGATATTTAAAGTGAAATCAGATTTTTCTTATTTAGACGAAATTCTGATTCTAACCAGTGTGACCCTTTCCAAACCAATATAAGGAGGCAAAAAAAGGGGGCAAAACTTAAAAATGATTCAAGTTTCAAATGAAAGCTTAATTTTTCACATTTTTAACTAGAAAATTTTGGAGATCACAATCAGAAGTTTCCCGAAAAATCAAAATTTTTTTCATTTTCAGAAAAGATCAAAAAGGGGGTAAAGAGGGGCAAAATAGAAAATTAGGAAAAGGGAAAGAGTAAAAAATGGAGCAAATGCCCCCCTAAAAGTGGTAAAAGGGTCAGCCTGATTCTAACTCTTAAAAATCCGAATTTTTTATTAAGCTTGAATAAACTTAAAAGGTTGAGAATAGTTAAAAATTAAAACTTGACATAGATTGAAGCTTAAACTTAAACTACTTAAATTTTGTTTTTAATTGTTAAGTTCTGGTTCTTAAGTAAATCAATTTAAACGGAAATTTTGATTATCATAGAGGTAGGTTGTCGGTTTCAACCCGAACCGAAGATTTGTGGTTTGGTTTGTAGTTTCGGTTTCGATTAACCGAAGAATTTGGTCAAACTAACAACCATATCGTAGAATAATAATTAAAGTTTAAAATTCTTATTATTATATGTATTAATTAGGAATTAAACTTAAATTAAAAGAAATTTATATGTTTAAAGCCTTGTCCATAACACTAATTTATTCAAAAAAATAATCTTTAGTTGATACAGACCAAATAAACATTTAGTAATGAATCACTGTTGAAATAAAATGTGTTTTATTGTAAAAATAGGATGTAGGGGGAAGGAAACTTATCCTCCTTTCCATCTGTCATAAAAAATGTTCGGCATAAATTATTTATTTAAAATAATAGTGAATACATTAAACAAAACTTTAAAAAATATATCTAATCTTTGTGTTTTGCTGTCTATTTTTAAATGTTCAAAGAAAACAAAAAATTGCAAAATTAATGTTTTTTAACCCGGAAATTGATTTAAAAATTTGATTAAAAAATTATTTTTACTTTACGTGATAAAAATTTTTTTTGATTATTATGGGAGACCCTTAAAAAATCTTAAAATTAAATAACAATTAAAAAGCTTTTAATATTAATCTAGTAAAGGAATAAACAAAAAAATATAAAAAATGGCAAAATAATCTTTAGTTTTTTTAGTTAAGATCAAATAAAAATATAATGAATGAATTGAAAGAATTGAAAGAATGTGAAGAAATGAATTTTGTTCTACAAGGTAGAGCTCGATTTGAGAAGAGATTTCGAAAGAAACTCGGTTCTCGTTTGAACTTTTTTCGAGATTCTCGAAATCTATATCTTAATTAAGTAAATGCCATGTTGACTCCCTTGACCTATCAGCAAATTAGATGCTAAGAAAAATTTTAAAGAATATATTAGAATAAAAATACTCCTTAATCAGGTTAGTAAAATCATCCCTTAGTCATCAAAAAAAATTTTTTTTAATTAGACAGATAATTTATCAAAAATAAGTATAATATTAAATATTTAACTAAGAAAATAAGCTTAGTTAAATATTAAAGATCGGAATTTTGAAAAAACCGGGTCCGGGAAATGGGTTTTGGAAGTTGACCGGGTGGGACCCGGACCGGAAAACCGGGAATTCCCGTTGCCAGTTTCATCACGATTGCTTCTAAAAATCGGGAAAAAGGACTCGGAAACCTGGTCCGGGACCCGTTCCGATCTCTATTAAATATTTAAATTTACAGAATTAATAACATTTTTTAAAAATTTTTTCTTCTTATTTTCTTTCTGTCAATTAATAATTTTTTAAATTGTTTAAAGTCTCTAAAAAATTTTTTTTTAATTAGAATATTTTCACTTCAATTTCTTTTAATATTCTTTAATAGTAGTTCTAAATTATTTAAATTAAACTTAAAATTTTTAAAATAAATTACTATTTTCAACAGCAACAAATTCCATTGAATAAGGAATTATTCCATTAAGCAGATCATATGAACTAAGTAATATACTCACTGATCCGGTTCCACTTGTTAAGGTTAAAGGAAATGTGTTTAAAGGAAAGTATTTTTTAATTCTAAAAAATTTTTAAAATTATTTCATTTTTTTGGTTATAAAACTTTTTCAACTGCCCTCTTTGATCCTTCTCATAAGGTTTAGGAAAATTTTCAGTTTCAAAAATCTAAAAAAAAATTTTTTTATTTGTTTCTTAATCTAGTTAACAACTAGGTTCCTGGAAATTCTTCGGATATCCAAACGGAACCAGGGAATCGACCAAAAAATCCTCGGTTTTTCGGTTCGATTCAGTTCAGAACCGACAACCCTATTAACAACGCTAAAGTGTTTAATACTTGATATAATCAGGATTTTGAGAAAAAATCAGTAGTAAAACGTCGAAATTTCGGAAAAAACAAGAAACTACGGGGGAATCAATCAAACCTAGCATAGGCAGCTGGCTTGAGACGGGTAAACCGCAACCCCGAAATTTTTTCGCAAAGTTCTTTTCCTTCATTTCCTATTAAGAGGGAAACTTTTTTCCCTCTTAATCCTCCTTAATTCCTAGACCCGAAACTTGACATGAAACCCGAAACTCTATCCGAAGAAAATTTTGAAAACCCAACCAGAATTATTCACAACCTGTCCCTCCCCTCCCCCCCCCCCCTATAAGACTGTCAAGAATTATTACCTCAATTCCAAACAGTTCACTTTCGCTTAGAGCTCTGATTGTAAGCTTTATTTCTTGTGTAGAATTTATAGAGAAGATGCATGTCCCTAAAAACTCAATAGGAAATACTGGGAGATATTGAGGAATATTGGTTGCAAACTGAAATGGTTGTGGACATGGAAGGTTGCGGGCGCTTGAAAACATTTTTATAATTATTTTCAACAAAAGAACTTATTTTCGGATTTTCGAGAAAAATGAATTTCAAATCCGCGGTAATTCACTCGCTTGTCTGTAATGAATTGGAATAAAAGTCCGCCGTTAATTGAGGAGGAAAAACGAAGATATTCCATGGGCGCATTTTTTCCGCTGAGGCTGAATCAGAAAATTTATTTTTGATTTAGAACAAAAACAAAAATGTTTATTCAGACCTAGCCTGCTTAACTTTCATTAACTCTGAACCATTCCATCTTGTTTGGTAAACATCCAAAGTGCCAACTCTTTCCTCTGTCTGAAACTCTTAATTAAAAATACCTAAATTAAGCTTTTTGACCTCAAATAATTTCAATTCAGCATAAATAAAGGTATTATATGCTGGCTGAATGTTCCACTTACAATCAAGTGAGCCACAGTATTCGTTGGGGTCTATAATGGAAAAAGTGTGATAATCAGAATAATTCTGATTTTGAAATTAATTGTTCCTATACTTACATCCAGGGCTTTTGATCACACCCTCCTTCACATTACTTTCAAAAATTTTTTCTTTAGGACAGGAACAATCATTGTCGATAGAAGCAAAAACAATGGGAATTAATAATTGTAGTAGAAGCAAAATAAATATTAGCTTATAATAAAGCATTTTTAAAGAGTATTCTGGTCGATAAAATCAGAATTAAAGGGAATTAATTTTTGAGTATTTAAACAAAATTCCGATTTTAATTCTTAAAATCAGAATTTTTTAGTAAAGTTAAATTCTAGTTCAAACTTGAAATGAATTAGCTCAAGCTTAAAACTTTAATTCAAGTTTAAGCTTAAAACTAATTCAAGTTTAAGCTTAAAACTTTAATTCAAGTTTAAGCTTAAAACTTTAATTCAAGTTTAAGCTTAAAACTTTAATTCAAGTTTAAGCTTAAAATTAATTAGTTGATAATCTTAAAACTTGAAAACTTAAACTTAAAACTTTAAAACTTGAAAAATAAACTTAAATATTAATTCAAGTTTTTACATAAATTAAAGGTTAAACTTAAATTTAAGTTTTAATTCAAGTTTAAACTTAAACCAAATTCTGTTTCAATTCTGGTTTTTTAAACGAATTTAAGTTCAAACTTAAAAATTCTGATTATTGCTGAAATTAATCCTATATTAAAGTTTCTATAGAAAATATCAGAATTAAAGTATTAAATAACATTTATAGTGAATATGAATAAACTTTGTTTATATAATAGTGATTGATACATATAAACAAAACTTTAAAAGTAATATCAATATTATTAAAAATATTCGGAATATGTAGTTGGTAGTAAGAATAAACTTGAATTATAAATAGTTTCAAATTTCTCACAAATTTTGCCTGCGGCCCAGAAGATGTAAGAAATTTGGCTTCTTGCCCTACATATTTAATTTAAAATATTTTTCTTTGCATGCGACTCTCTCGATATCTCGTATATCAACCTTAATCCCTCTAACTATCCATATATCCTTCATAATCCTTCCTATTTCAATCGATATAGCTTATTATCCTCTTTAATCCTTCCGAATTCAATTACATCTCATTTAATCACTCAAATCCTTTTATAACCCCTTTTTATATCTCCCAAATCGTCAATATCCTAGCTAATTCCCGATATCACTCCCAATGTCCCAAATTACCTGTTACCGTTTTATCAACCAAAATAAATCCTTCTAATCTCGACAAATCCCCCAGGTATCCTTTATAATCACCAAAAACCTTATATTTCCCCGCCAATAACATTTTATACACATAAAAAACACATATCTTACAAAATTTTAACACAAAAATTAATATAAATTTTTTTTGAAAAATCCGGAAAAATCCCGGATTGGGTCCGGAATCCGTATAAATTCTGCCGGACTCCTGAAATTATTTTTAACTGATTAAAACCAGACCGGTCCGGCATAAGTTGCAAATCCGGAATCCAGATGCGGATTGTAAGAATCGATTTTTCCGCACACTAGTGTTTATTTTTAAAAATTTGTTTACTTAATATTAATAAATACAAATATTATTTTACTTAAGTTTAAAAGAATCTCTGTTATTTACGGATACGGTTTATAAATCTAAATAAATAATTTTTGGGACGTGGGCTATGCGCAGGCCCACTTAAAATTATTGTGTAAAAAAATTCTCAAAATTTTCGCCTGCGGCGCTGAAAAGGAAGATCCTTATTATCCCTTCAAATCCCCAATTTCCCTTAAAATCCCTCAATCGCTCGAAATCACATTATATCCACCTTAATCCTCTGATATCCCTTCAAATCCCCTCAATCGTTTTAAATCCCATTACATCACCATAATCCTTAGATATAATAATCCTTTGATCTGTTAGTCATCTGATCCCCTTTGATAACTTATAATCTACCAATATCCCTCCTCAATTTTGATATATATTCAAATATTCCAAATATCAAAACCACTGATATCACTCTTAATCACCAGGCATCTCTTCAGGCTTTCCTTATGCCTCTAAATCCATCGATATGATGGATTTATAGTTGATTTATAATTTTTATAAAACGGAATGATCATAATTAATGATTTTTCATTGGTTTTTTTGAATATGAATTATTTTTAAAAAATTTTAAAAATAAACAGTCGTTTAAACGGGTTTTAAAAATTAAACGAAACGGTATACGGGTCGCAGATAAACGGCATAAACGGTATACGGTTTTTTCAAAATTAAACGGTTTTGTCCCACTCTAGTAGATACCAATAAATAAAAATAGTTCTGATAGTTAATAAGATTTATATTGATTACATAGGGTATTGGTAGATCTGGACGGATTAAAGGGAATATCAGCGGGCCTGTATTCTACATCAATGGATCAAGAGGGATATAGGTGGATTTTAAGGTTTATCTGTAATATAATACATAGTATCAAACTTGAATTATGGTTGTAGATTTGAAAATCAGAATTTTCCTCTACTAAAGAAAAATTACTTAACTAATTAAAATCACCCCTAACCATCAACAAAAATTTTTAATGAGAAAAAAATAATTTATCAAAAATAAATATAAGTGAAGTTGTTTTTAAAAAAAATAAGAGAGGTAAAAGGCTTAGTTAATTGTTTTTTTTAAATTTACACAAGAGTAACATTTTTTGAAATTTTCTCTCAAACTTAGTTAATTAAATTTTAAAGTCAATTGTCAAATGCCCTCCACAAAAAAAAATCATTTTAAAATTTGGTTACATTTCGTGGAGCATTTCCAACACTTCGTGAACTTGAAAAAAATTTTTAATTAGTTAAAATAAAAATAATTTTTTTCTTCCTAGCCTACACTTATTGTATCGAAATGTATTTTCGGAAAATTTCGGAATTTTTTTTCATATTCGATTTTCGGAAAAGTAATTTTAAAAATTCTTTGGGAGACCCTAAAGTGAAAAATTTTTTTATTTTTTCAATTTATTAATTTAAAAAAAAAATTTTTTTTAATTTAATTACCGTCGCTGATAACGAGGATTAATAAAGCTTGGAGTTTTAGGTGTTCGGTTAACTCCATAAAATTTAACAGTTGTTGCACCCTCAATTCGGCGTTTCTTTGGTGATGATTGGTCTCTACAAAAATTTAAAAATTTTTGAAAAATGAAAATCTTTGTTAGGAAATTTTTAAAAAAATTTTTTGAAAATTTTTTGAAAATTTTTTGAAAATTTTTCAGGAAAAATTTTTCCTAAAAAATTTTTGGCTTCGTTCATCGAAACCCAAAAAAAATATAAAAATTCTAGTCACACATTTTCTAATTTTTTCTCACATTTTTGGAGTTTTCCTTCCACCACCACTACCAACAACATCGTCTGTTTCCTGGTCAGTATTATCATCACTCCCATTATTATTACTTCCAAATTTTTTACGCAAACGGGCAACATTAGAAGTTGTTGGAATAGGTGATTCGAATAATTCAGCAACCTAAAAAATTAATAAAATTTTTGAGAATAAAAAAATTTTATACGAAGAAGCTAAGAGTTTTTGGAAAATTTTGAAAAAAATATTAAGTTAAAAAAAAATATTTTTTCGGTGGAAAAAAATTTTTTACAGACTTGCATACACACCTTTTGTTAAAAAGTCATTTATTTAAAAAGGCGTAACTATTTACAAATTACACTAATTTTAAGGTTTTCAACCGATTAAAAATTTGTACATAAATTACTCAAAATTTAAAAAAAAATCCGCAAAAATTGTCCGCAAAATGTTTATGAATTTACAACTGCCAAGAATTTCAAAAAGATATTTTTCAAAAAAATTTTTTTTTCAATTTTAAACTTTACTAAAACTCTAAAAAAATTATAAAATTTGAAAAAAGAATTCCTTCCCAAACCTTTTGTATAGTTCGCCGATTACTATTAAGTGCAGCTTCACGTTCAGCTTCCACATAACGCTGAGTTTCTCCACGTAGACGCTCTTGTTCTTGAGCATTTTCATATTTATATAAACGAACAAGTAAAGCTTTGTTTTCACGCTGGAAATAAAATTTTTTTTTGAAAATTTATAAAAAAAAATTCAAAAAAAACCTCAAGTTGTCGAATCTGTCCAGTTTGTGAAACATTTGCTTGTTTTAAACGAATAATTTCTTCTTCAGAATCCTTTAATTTTTGATAGTCTAAATCGGCATTACACAAACGCTGTTTTAATTTTGCTTCAAATATTTGAGCTGTAAAAATAAATTATTTTTTTAATTGAAAAAAAATATAAAAGAGAAATTTCTAGACTTATTTGCTTCGTTCAATTTCTCTCAATTTTTTCCTTATCTTAAATCTGAAAACTCAATCAAAAGGAATCATAAATTTGGATAGTGTCTAAAAAAAATTTTTTGCCGACAAACTTTGCGGACAATTTACTTTAAATTTTGCATAGGTTCGTTTTAACGTTACATATACAAAAAATCATTATTTTCCATAAAAATAAATCTCTCTCATTTAAAAATGCTTAAAAATGAGAATTACGCATTCTATGGATTTTTTCCCTTTTTTTTTGTTACCCAAAACTAATTGCCTTTTCTTAATTTATTTGGACCCAATTTTTTATTCCTACTATAAGTTTCCCAAATTTAAACAAAGAAAATATATATAATAAAAATGGATATCTGAAAAAATTGAGGAGCCCTTTATTCTCAAAAAATAAAAAAAAACTTACAATTTTGTTCAACCGACTCCAAAAATCCCTTCTTTTGAGCCAATAAATTTGTAAAATATTCCCGAATTCTTGAAAGAGATTCAATATCATTAGGTCCGTTAATTTTTAAATCGGGCATTTCTGAAGAAAATGGGTCATCAATTTCCATTGTTTCAACTGCTGGTAAACGATCCTTGAGTTCCAAATACCTAAAAATTGGAGAAAATAAAAATGTCCGCAAGTTTATATAAAATTTTAAGGAAGCAAAAATCTTATGGGATTTTTAAAGGAAATTTATTTTAGAATAATAAATAAAAATATAATTTATTAAGGATCTAATCCATAATTTTTAAAGAGCCAGAAGACGTTATGTGTGAAACTTAGATAAACATAAAGTAATATAGCCAGCGGCAAAAATGAATAAAAAACAACAGAAGACCATCTTTTTGAGTTTCTCTCCCTCAACTCGTCATGTTAGGGCAAAAAACCCAAGCAGGACTTTATTACTAATTATTAAACATTTTTTTGACAAAAAAGATGGAAAAAAAATTTGCGGACAAAATTTTGCGGATTTTAAACATTTTGCAAATTTAGAAAATTTCCCCCAGAAAATTTAAAAAAAATCCAAAAAAACTAACCATTTCATCCATTCTTTTCTTGGGTGAGTAAAATTGGAAAAATCAGTTAATGGAGAAATAAAACAATAGTCCTCGTTTGTCGCATCATTTCCAACATTTACTCCTCGAAAATTTCTTTTGGAAATATCCTAATATTTTTTAAAATTTATAAAATTTATTTTAAACTTAAATAACCTCCTCTTTAAGTCCTCTAAAGAATTTTGCATTAATATCCTCATTAACTTTGGCACGACAAACAATTTGTTTAGCACTATCAGCATATCTTTTAATTTATTAAATAGAATAATTTAAAAAAAAAAATCAGAAAAAAAATATTTCCAAAATTTTTTCCGAAAAAAAAAATTTTCAAAAATTTTTTCCGGAAAAAAAATTTTCAAAAAAATTTCGAAAAAAAATTTTCAAAAATTTTTTCCGGAAAAAAAAATTCACCGAAAAAATTTCAAAAAAAAAATTCAAAAAAAATCTTGGTAAAGAATTAACCAAAAAAAATTATTTTTTCAAAAATTAAAAAAAACCTCAATGTACTCAAAGTCTCTTCAAAATTAATTTCAGCAGGACTAATCGCAGCAATCATTGCAGTTTTTGAATTTCCTCCAAGAGATTCCTTTAAAAGCCATGTCAACACAGAATCCTACAAAAAATTAAAAAAAATTTCTTTTAACCACCCAAATCCAAACCCGATAAGGTATGACAGCCGCCCTAAGTTGTTGTTTTCCTTTCCTTTTAGATGATTGTTCAGCCAACTTTTAAAATAAATTTTAAAATTTTTTTAATTAATTTTTGAAAATAAAAAAAACTTTTTTGATAACAAGTCCAAGTGTAGTTAAGCTTTTATTGATATTTGCACCTTCCTAAAAATTATTTTTTTTTCTTTAAATATTTTTGAAAGAACAATACAGTCGAAAACCCCATTTTTTAGATACCCCAAATAAGGGATTAAGATGTCGCAATGGCTTGTAAAAAAAGGATAACTTAAAGTCGGGGATCGCCAACTAATAATGGCCAAGAGCGTATCCAGGGGGCTGGGGGGCTAGAGCCCCCCCCCCGAAATGGGGGAAAGGGGGAAAAAATTAGGAGAAGGATGGTCGAAAAAGTGAAATTTTTTCGTCTACAACCCTCAAATTTAAAAAAATTTTCGCCTGCGGCGCAGAAAAGATGAAAATTTATGTACAAAAAAATTTGCGTCCGGAACGCCAAGGTAAACGCCAAAAATTTTTGCACCCACCCAGTGTTAGCCCCCCCCCCGAAACCGACCCCCTGGATACGCCAACTAATAATGGCCAACCAAATGTATTGGGTATTTCTTAAAATAAAGTCTGACTGAATTAATAAATTTTAACCTTTAGTCTTTGACCTTCTGTTGAACCAGCCCTTTCGCTACCTGTTTTTTATTATGTGTAAAATTAAATATTTATATATTGGAATTGTTTACTACCGATGAATTTGAAAAAAGATTTCGAACATTTCTATACTCTAGGTTTTTCGGTACTTTCCTGTTATCGGCCCTCCATTTTTTCCCCCTTTTTTCTCAGCCTACTTGTGTACAGAATGGTCAGATTTTCTCTCTTTCTCAAATTCACTCCATTTCTCGGTGGCAACATAAACCGAAAAAAGATTCCCACAACCGAAAAGAAAGTTCTCCACTAACGTTCAATTTTTTGTGTATTCGTCGCGTCTTTAAGATTTTTTCTCAACTTTTCTTCATTAATGTCTCATTTGAATATGCCAATGGGAAATGGAGTGAATTTGAGAAAGAAAGAAAATCTGACCATTCTGTACAGCAGTAGGTTGAAAAAAGGGGAGAAAAATGGAGGGCCGATAACAGGAAAGTACCGGTTTTTCTAAAAACAGGCCAAATTATGTAAACCCCCCCCCCCCCCCCCGATTTAGGTTTAAGGTTTTATCGAGGATAATTTTTTAAAAATATAGCCATTTTCAAAAATTCTCAAAGTTAAAATCAGTAGTAAACACCCGTATCAGGGATGTCACGGGTTGAGAAAATTCGGGTTTCGGATCGGGTTTTGAAAATTTTCTTCGGATCGGGTTTCGGGTAACCCGTGACATCCCTGACACATATTATTCTATTTATTTTTTATTTCACTAACCAGCAAGATCGACCAACGAAATTTTGCTCACCTTAAGAAAAAAAAATAAAAACCCTTTTTTTCATTTAAAGAAATATACTTTTTCAGTATCCAAATTGTTAACATGCTCTCGTTGAGTAAGCACAATTGTAAAAATTGCATGTGAACGTGATGACGTTGAATTCATATTTGTAGCTGCTACTGTTCTTAAAATTATTTAAAAATTTATTAAAAAATTTTTTTCATTAAAATAAAACCTGGCTTTATCCCCAGCATTCATTAATTCAAAGACACTTAAAAAATTAAATTTAAAAAAATTTTAGAAAAAAAAATTTTATACTCTTCATAAGACTTCACAGCAATTTTTTCAAGATTGTCAACATATGGACCCAAAACTGGATGTTCTCGAACTTTCAAATTATCATTCTTTGGACACACTAAATCCTTAACTTTCTCACAATAAATTTCCATATATGAAACCTAAAAAATTAAAATAATTTTTTTAGGGGTGTCCAGGATGTTCAAAGACTTTTTCCGTTTATTGTCAAAATACAAAATTTACAAAGATTCACTCTCATATTTGTGCCAAAAATTTTTTTTGACTTTTCCCACTCGACTATAATCTCTAAAAACTTGAAAAAGATGAGACCAAATCCTGGGCTTCACCTACGATACCTAGGTTTCAAGGGCGTAGCCGGGGGGTCGATTTCGGGGGGGGGGGGGCTAACATGGGGTGTACGGAATTTGGACGGTCATAGGCGAAAAAAATCCACTTTTTTGCCCAATCCCCTCCTCAAATTTTTCCTCTTTCCCCATTTCGGGGGGGGGGGGAGGGCTTTAGCCCCAGAAGCCCCCCTGGCTACGCCCTTGCTAGGTTTCACCTTTTTACGTTAACTAACCTTAAAAAATTCCAAAAATACCCTCAAAAAGTTGAGTCGAAACTCAAAATCATCCAACATCTAGGAAGTCTCAAAAACACCCAAAAAAAATCTTTCACAGCCCCATTTAAACAAAAAAACCTGTTTTACCTCTATATTATATTCAAGTTGCTGATTCTCCCTGTTTTCACTAATCCGACTAAAAATTTCGCGGCAAAGTCTTGGAATCATTCCCATTTCTTCAAGATCGTCCATTTTACCCACTAAAATTTATTATGAAAAAAACAAAAAAATCAAATTTTACTCATTGTATATGACTTTCCAGAACCAGTTTGACCATAAGCAAATATACAAACATTGTATCTTTAGAAAAATTTTTTACATAAAAAATCCGCAAAATTTTGCGGACAAAAAATTCTACAAAATTTTTTCGGAGGAAAAAAAGTCCGCAAAAATTTTGCGGACAGCAAAAAATTTCTGAAAAAAATTTCGGCAGTAAATCCGCAAAATTTTGCGGACAAAAAATTCTACAAAATTTTTTCGGAGGAAAAAAAGTCCGCAAAAATTTTGCGGACAAAAAAAATTAACAAATAAAAAAATTAAATTAACCCATCAAAAGCGTGGTCAAGCATTTCAGAGCCTTGAGAAATTGAAAATTATTTTCACTTAAAAAATTAAAAAACCAATATCATCATAAATCATTTCCTGGGAAGCATAGTTCACAGAAGTTTTGTCAAATGATGAATAAGAATAATCAAACTCAAAACTGTATGTTTGATTGGAGCTGCTTGTGATAACTTAAAAATAAATTATTAAACAAAATATAAGACAAAAAGGGAAATTGCGGACAGAAAAAAAAATGTCCGCAAAAATTTGCGGACATTTTTTTGCGGACAAGTTGTGGTAGGGAATGGAATAAAGACAATTTTGACTAATAGGGTCTTTTCTGTATTACTACTAGAGCCCGGCTCGATACGATATTTTTTGATATTTTTCGATATATATTTTTCGATATTATCGAAAAAATATCGACCGAGCCCTCCGTCCGGGCTCTAATTACTACTTATAGACGAATAAAAGCGGAGGCCTAAATGGCTCAGAATTGGACGATTTATATGTCAATCGAAAAAGCTCGGCGAGCACAGTCGAACGACACCAAAATTAGCCAGCGGAAAAAACTTTGGGCCGAGATACAGGGCTCGAAATGGTCAAAAACCATAGGGGGCTAATTTAAGTGATAACTTAAAGATAAATTATTAAACAAAATAAAAGACAAAAGGGAAAATTGCGGACAGAAAAAAATGTCCGCAAAAGTTTGCGGACGGCAAAAAATGTCCGCAAAAATTTGCGGACATTTTTTGCGGACAATTTGTGGTGCAAAATAGAATAGACAATTTAGACTAATAGGGTCTTTTCTGTATTCCTATTTATAAACGAATAAAAGCGGAGAGTAAAGAGGGAAAACTTAGTCCGATAACCACCAAAAACAGATTTATTTTCCGCTCAAACCCAAAACCAGATTTGGTAATTCTTGCGTTCGTACCCCCCCCTCTTTTTTCCTTCCTTAAAGTATTAAAAAATGGTCCGTCTGATATCAGATTATAGAACTCGTCGTGCTGTATCGAATGACACCAAAATCAACCCCCGGTCTTAACTTTGGGCCGAGATACAGTCAAAAAACCAGCACAAAGCGCAGGTTTAGCAAAAGCTTTATTTTTCAATTTCCTAGGGTCTGTATCTCGTCCCAAAGTTAAGGCCAGGGGTTGATGTTGGTGTCATTCGATACAGCTCGACGAGTAATATCAGACTGACCATTTTTTAATACTTTGAGGAAGGAAAAAAGGGGGGGGGGTACGAACGCAAGAATTACCCCAGATTTTAAAAAAAATCTAAGAGTACATACATGTTGTTTGGTCTAACATATCGATCACACATTTGGAAGATAATTCTAAGAAAAAAAATTTTTTTATTGAAATCAAAAAATAAAAACAAACGTATTTCTCGACTATCAAAAGGCCTAACACGAACAGCCACTTTTAAAGAAGACATTTTTAATTGTTTTTTTATTTGTTATTAGCTAAAAATAAAAGTTAAAAGAGAAATTTTATAAAAATCAATTTATGCTTTAGTAAATCAGAAAGAAAATAAAAAGAAAAAAATAAAGACAAGCCAATTTTGGGGTAATTAAAATTTGAACATATTTTAGCCGCTATTCGTTTCGAAACTTTTTTATTTCCGGAAGTGACACTAGAGTCTCAGCAGAGTTTTACTTAACTAGGTTCCGGCAAAATCGCATTCCCGGGACCCCAGAACGGGATTTTTTCGACATTTTGTACGGGACGGGATTTCGCGGGATTAATCCCGTAAATCCCGTTTGTCGCTAAAAACCCGGGATTCCGAGACGGGATCCCGTAAAATCCCGTACGGTTTCCCGTCCCGTGCCGGGCTCTATACTTACCGTCGTTCTGCTTCCTTTTTTGCTTCTAAAAAAATTTATTTTAATTTTTAAAATTTTTTAGAACTTTCAAAAAAATTCATAAGACATTCAAAAAACTAAAATTATGGCAAGTCCACGTACTAGACGAATATTAAAAGACCTTAGACCTGTTGATGAGAATAACGTATTTTTTAAATTTTATTAAAAAAATTTTTAATTTTTTTTTCCAGTTTTGTTTTGAATGTCAAGCATTAAATCCACAATGGGCTAGTGTTACTTATGGCATTTGGATTTGTTTGGAATGTTCTGGGAAGCATAGAGGGCTAGGTGTACATATCAGGTTTTATTTAGATTTTATAATTTTGTTGAGGTTATAGCGGGTATGGGCCGAGGTCCCTGAAAGCCGAAACGGCCGAATTACCGAGATCGGAAGTCCCGACTCTTTTTTTTGATTCGAAACCCGATCCTGATAAAATTTCGAATCTACAAAGAATCATCCCTGACTTTTTTTTCTCTATCCAATCCATCACTTGCCATTCAATTTTCTTATGGTTTGGAATAAATTTAAATCATCTACATTCTATTAAAATTGAGTGTAGTTCTTAATTTTTGAGGGCGGGCCCGTAGCCAGGTGGAATAGGCTTATAGTTAGCTTTCAAAATTCAAAAAATTTTCGCCTGAGGCGTGAATTTTTTGCGCCGACAGCCTTGGCAGAAAAATTCTCCTCCTTGGCCCTCTCCCAAAAAATCTTGACTAAGGTCCTACTTGAGTGCTTTAAATTCGGTGTCCGCCTATTTCATAAACTTTTAAGTCAAATGTTTTGTCTATTCTTCAAATTTTTCAATTTAAAAATTATATTTACTTTAAAAGTTTTGTTCGTTCCCTAACGATGGACAAATGGAAAGATAGCGAATTAGAAAAAATGAAGGTTGGAGGAAATGTAAAGGCTAGGGAATTTTTGGAATCCCAACCTGATTTCAAGCCGGAATGGACTATAATCGAAAAATATAATTCCAAAGCTGCCGCTCTGCTGAGAGATAAGGTTCTTTTTTATTTTTGGGGAATTGACCCTTTTGAGCATTTTTTAAAATTTTTTCGAAAATTTTTTTTCAAGGTCAGTACCGAATCTGAAGGCAAAGTGTGGTCCTATGAAACGTCTCCAGCTCGTAATTATCAACCTATTAAAAGTGAAATGACTAAACCTTTGAGCAGTGGACGTGTGGAGAGTTTACATAGCGATGACTTTGAGGGATTTCAAAATTCTGGGCAAAGGTTTTCATTGTTTATTTTGCAATTCGAAAATTATTTTTGGGGTTTCCTGGCTTTCTTTTATTTTTTTAAAGGAGTTTGGCACCGTGTTTGATTCCTTTTCAACGCCGCAGGCGTAAATTTTGAGAAAATTTTCTAGACCGTAGGCCAAAAATTCACTTTTCCATTTCCCCTCTACAAATTTTTCCTATTTGACCCCTGGCTACGGCCCTGTCCCTCTTCCTGGTACGCAAATGTTTGGTCGTAATGTTTTTTTACCTTTTTTTTCTTTAAAAAATGGTCAATGGTATCCTTGCCAATTATAAATTTGTTGACTGTTTTTAAAAAATTAAGACAATTATTACGGATTTGCGACGTGTAAGGAGATAATGTGATTGAACCAAAATTTTTTTGTTATAATATTTCAAAAAAAATTTTTTTATCGCTCCAAAGATCGATAATTTTGACTTTTTTATTTTTTAGTAATTCTCGTTATTCCGGCTTTGGCAATCCCCAATTTCAACAAAAAATGAGTTTTGACTCCAATTCTCAATCTGAAATGTTAACGGGTGCTTTGAATTCCCTTTCAATGGGTTGGAATTTGTTAAGTAAAGGAGCAACTTCAGCTGCTGGAATGGCTAAGGATTTGACTTCTCAAACGGGTACAAAAGCTGTTGAGTTGAGTGAAACTGTTGCGAGCAAGGTTTATTTTTTTAATTTCTGGGTTTTTACTTTTGGCTCTGGCACCGGCTTTCCTTGTTTTGTGACTTTTTAATATGGTTTAAGTAAAGTGTCTTGATCCTGATTTTGGGGAATTATCGAATCTATTCTTGCATGGTTTCCACTTCAAGTTGCATGGTTTCCACTTCAAGATATATCTTACCCTCTCTCATGCACATTAGTGGAGTGAAGTCACTCCCTCCTGAAAATTTTTTTGATTAAATTTGACCTTGTCAATGTCCTTCCTTTGATAGCGAAATATCGGTAAGTAGTTTTTTGGAACCTTTCCTGCGTATTTCTCTAGTCGAGAACCTTTTCAAAATAACTTTGGGCATGAGTTTGTTGTATTTTCTAATTAATAAAAAGGAAAAAAAGCTCAAAATTAAAAAATAATTTCAGATTGGAGAAGGAAAATTGCTTGGAGGTTTTGGCAATTTATTAAATTCTGCAACAGAATTTGGTCAAAAATCGTTTAGTGGAATTAATCAATTTGTAAAATCAACAAGTTTGCATGGTTTTAGTGGTGGACAATTTAAAGAGTATTTTTTTAATTTTTAAAAATTAATTTTTTTTTCAATTTTAAAGTCAATATGACGACTTATCTGACTTGAAAAATACGAGCCAAGTTAATGAGGGTGAAAATTTGGAAGATGAAAAATATAAGAAAATGTATCGACAACAAAAAATTGGGGAAGAAATTAATAAACTCACTTCAGGTTTAAAAAATTTTTTTAAATTGAGGTTGATCTGAACTTGTTATGGGCTATATTTCTGTAGTATTTTTGTGAAAATAGTTGTCTGTTTCAAATTGTATCGAAAAATCGGTGATTTTCGTTTAACCGAAGGAATGTGGAAACCGACACTTTAGGCTTTATATCCCTCCTTCAAAGCCATGTAGGTGGTTAGGAACGATTAGAATTACAGAAAAGAATTTGAACATTGCAAAAAACTTGAAACGTCTTCGACAATTTTTCTTTAAAATTTACATTAGAAATAGTTTTTTAACTTTGGTCTAGTTTATAAGTCCAATAACCCTTTGTGTGTACAATGAAAACTTTATCGGTCCAATAAGAATCAATACGGCCTAATCCTCCGAGACTGATACCCTTAAAGATTGCAAACTTTCATTAGACTTATAAAGGTTTATTGGACTCGGTAAATCAGACCAGAGTTAAGAAAAAAATTTTTGACTCGAAAAAAATTTCATTTTATTATTTTTTAAAGGAATTCCATCATCTAAATATTCTTCAAATTCTGCAAAAAGTGGATTAAACAATATAGTTGAAAATGAGAATGAATTGGGTGTACCAGATAATTTGTATCAATCAAGTAGTTCATCTCCTTCATTAATTTCTCTTGAAAAATCGGGTGAAAAAATTATTAAAAAACAACAAGGATTGAATAAACAAGTTGCTGGAGAAAAGAAAAAGACGATGACAAAACCAAAAGATGATCCTTGGGATATTTTAAATAGTTGAGGGGGATAGACAGGGACGAGGCTTTATTTTTTCGGAATAATTAAAGGAAATTTTAGTTAAAAAATTTTTCTGATGAACTTGCGGACATTTTTTTGTCCGCAATTTTTTTTGCGGATATTTTTTGTCCGCAAAATTTTTTGCGGACATTTTTTTTGTCCACAAGTTTTTGGCGGATATTTTTTGTCCGCAAAATTTTTTGCGGACATTTTTTTGTCCGCAAATTTTTTGCAGACATTTTTTTGTCCGCAAATTTTTTCAGACATTTTTTTGTCCGCAAATTTTTTTGCGGACATTTTTTTTGTCCACAAGTTTTTGGCGGATATTTTTTGTCCGCAAAATTTTTTGCGGACATTTTTTTTGTCCACAAGTTTTTGGCGGATATTTTTTGTCCGCAAAATTTTTTGCGGACATTTTTTATGTCTGCAAATTTTTTGCGACTTTTTTATAAACTAACATTTTTAATGTCCGAAACACCAAAAAATCAAAATTTTTTTTAAATTTCTTGTTGCAAAAATTTTCTTTTTGGTGTGAAGCCTTGGATCTGTTAATTAAAAAATTGTTAATTGTACTAATATACACATTATTCGTTCCCCTTGCTCTAAAATAAATTAAGAAATTGTGAACCTTTAACCTGGGAACCTTTATAACTTTCACGAAATCAGAATCCGGTACTGGAAAAAAATCCGGTCTTTTCTACCAATAAAAATAAGAGAAAAGGACATCTTAACTTTCCCAATAAAAATAAACATTCTAACTAAAGCCTTATGTTGGGCTTTATTAAAATACCTATTCATATCTTGCTTCGACTTTCGACCTTTTTTTCTAATTCAGATTAAATAAATAAAAGATTTTTCTTAAAATAAAATTTTACTATTTTTTTGGAAGTTTGTATTAAAATTTTTATAAATAATTTTAAAGTAGGTCAAAAATTAATTCATTAAAAGTATATGGGTGCCAAATTAACTCTAAATGTTTGGTCGACCACCTTATTTTTTGATCCCCTTTCAGTTGAAAAAATAGAGCTAAAAAAATAAAAAAATCCTCAAATAGAATGCTCGCTCAATTGTTAATTTTATGAAAAATTTTAGGTTTTTTTTCAAAACTTTTTTAGGTTTCAAAAAAAATTAGTGAAATATATCAGAGCAACGATCGAAATTTTTTAAATCTAAAAAACTATAAATCTTTTAGATTTGTCACTAAAAGTTTTGAATATAAACAAAATATTGCTGAATGGACACTAAGCTTATTTTTGTTTATTTTTCTAGTTTCTGCAACATAATATCAAAATAAACAATTCTAGTTAAACTATATCATTTGACTAAAACATTGTTGTGTTTTTAGTGTTAAAACTTTTTTTTCCAAGTTTATTTTAATTTTACAATTACAACACTAAAATAAACTTGAAGAAAGTTTTTTTAACTAACATAAGGAAAATGTTTTGTAATTTTAAAATAAACAACTAAGCAAGTTTTAAACAAAACACAGTTAAACAAAACATGTTTTACAATTTTACAAAACAGCGTTGTTTGTTCAAAACATTTTTCAAGTTTGTTTTACAATTGCAAAATATAAAATAAACAACTTGACAAGTTTTAAACAAAACAGAGTTAAACAAAACATGTTTCACAATTACAAAACAATGTTTTTTCGTCAAAACTTTTTTTTAAGCTGTTTATTTTACAATTACAAATACCTATAAAATAAACAACTAAACAAGTTTTAAACAAAACATAGTTAAACAAAACATGTTTTACAATTACAAACAGCGTGTTATGTTCAAAACTTTTTTCAAGTTGTTTATTTTATAATTACAATTGCAGAACTATTTTACAAATTACATAATATAACAATATACCGTATTTCCTGTATCATAGCAACCTTTCGAATTAGAGCCCCCTCCTTGATAAAGCCTATTTTTGGAGGGTGTTTGAAAAATAGAGCCCCCCGTCTGTACTAGAGCCCCTCCTCCCCGCGTTTGGAGGACAGTTGAAAATACGCCCCATGAGGCTATTAGAGCCCCCTCCTTAATATGGCCCCCGCTTGGAGGGCATTTGAAAAATAGAGCCCCATGGGGCTCTAATACAGTAAATACCGTATTTTGTGAATTTTTATCAGATTATAAAACATTTTTAAATTATGAGCAATACCAACTCAGCATCATCACTTTCTCCTATGCGCTGGGTCGTTAATCAAGACATTCGTAACTGTTCTGGAATTATGTGCCCACCAGACACTCTTTGTTTGCGACCAGAACATTTTTCTGTTCCGACACATTGTGTTCATAAAAGTGTCATGGACAACGTTGCCAAACACCTTTCGAATGGGCCGGTTTATTTGTGCAATGATGGAATTGTTCAAAATATAATTGTAGGGATGCTTGTGGTGATTATAATTGCTCAGGCAAGGAAATTAGAAAAAATGAGGCTCTATTTAAGTTATAGGTTCATTATCCGTTCAATAGGGGTTTGTGTCCAATCAAGTTCTTATATGCCCATCTAAAATTTCATGAGTCCAATTAAATTCTCATACGTCCAATCAAGCTTTTTGCATAGTAAATAGGGTTGGACACACTCGGTTATTAACTAGTATCCCCGGTTTCGACCTCACGGTTTAAGGTTCCGGTTCATTTTTTCTCGGTTTGGGGTAAGATCACCGGTTAACGGTTCCGGTTCTGGTAACCGTTTGTGTCCAGCCCTAATAGTAAAGTTATTAGACGCATACAATTTGCTTGGACGCATAACCTCTTTAAAACATTAAAAAAAATAATTTTGTAGATAGCTCTGTTCTCTTTGTTCTACTGGCGTTCGTCATTTAAAAAACTTTCCGACAACAAAATGGAGAAAAAGAATTCCCGAAAAGATGGGTATAACAACAAATCCTTAAGTCCTTCAATATGCAATACGTTAACAACTAATCTTGAGTTAATGTCTACTCGATTGGATTTGCCTTCTCGATCGAACCCAACTCACTTATGTGAAAGAAAGGATCAATATACAATTTTGACTCCTAAATTGTTCGACTCCTCCGGAAGTACTGGTCGGCGTTATGAAAGAAATGATCAATCAGCAAATTCGAGTTCATTCAGTTCTGAATACTCCGCAACTTATCATAATGTTTGAATTATTAAAGAATGAAGAAAATATTAAAATTACTAGAAACATTTTAATTTTACAATCTTATAAAAATGTTTTATAATTTTCCGGATTGTTAAACTCCATTCAAAACTTTCCGGAAAAATTAAATTCTTAAGCAACCAAATGTTTTACAAGTATCCGGAATGTTTTTAAAGTTCGTAAATCTAGGAAAAAGGGTTTTACAATACTTCTTTCCGGAATGTTCATAAACTTAAAAAATGTTTTACAATCCATTTACAACTTTCCGGAAATGTTTAAACTTTTGAACTAATAAATGTTTTACAATTCGTTTTTCCTGGAATGTTTTTAAATTAAAACAATTCCTCTTATAAATTTGCTGAAGTTATTTCCCGTGTGTTATTTCTCGTTTTATTATACTATATTTATATTTATAGCTTGATTAATTCCTAAAAATTCTAATTTCCAAAATTAATTTTTCCAAAAAAAAATTAACGAATAATAGAACGAACGATCAAAATTTTACACTATTAAATATAAATCAAAGTTGTCACCAAAAGTTTTTTTAATATAAACAAAATATTGGTGAATGGACACTAAATTTATTTTTGTTTATTTTTCAAAATAAACAATTCTAGTTAAACTAACATTTGACTAAAACATTGTTGTGTTTTTAGTGTTAAAACTTCGTTTTTCCAAGTTCATTTTAATTTTACAATTACAAAATTAAAATAAACTTGAAGAAAGTTTATCAATTAACAATAAGAACAATGTTTTGTAATTGTAAAATAAGCAACTTGACAAGTTTTAAACAAAACACAGTTGAACAAAACATGTTTTACAGTTACAAACACCGTGTTATGTTTAGCACTTTTCAAGTTTTTTATTTTACAATTACAAAACATGTTTATTTAAAAATTTTCGAGTTTGTAGTTTACAATTACAAACTTATTTATATTTCATTGGTATTTTAATTTGTAAAATAAAAAATAAATTTTTATCAGATTAAAATCTTTAATGAGCAATAATACTAACTCAACTACCTACAACCAACTTAATTCTACTAAGTATTCCTCAGCAATGTCATCATTCCCTACGGGTTATAAACGTTGGGTGTTGAATTACGACCTTCGCAACTGTTCTGGAAATCTGTGTCCACCAAACACTCTTTGTATGCGACCGGAATATTCTTATTATCCGACACATTGTGTTCATATAAATAACGTGGACGACGTTGATCAACACCTGTCAAATGGACCTATTTATTTGTGCAATGATGGTATTGCTCAGTATATCACTCAGGGGATGCTTGTGACTATTTTAATTGTTCAGGCAAGTAAGCAACAGAGGTGGGTCGGGACAGTCAGAGTTATCGGAAATCGGAACTGTCGGAAATCGGAACTGTCTCAAAAGTCGGAACTCAGAAATCGGAAATCAAATTTTTTTCGGAAATCGGAATTCCGACCCATCTCTTAGGCAGAAAACAAAAAAAATTTTTCTATTCAAAAAAATTTTATAGATTGTTCTCTGCCTTCAGTTCTTTTGGCGCTCATCAAGTAAAAAAGTTTCTGACAACAAAAAGATCAAAAAGAATCCTTCAATATGCGACTCTATAACAGCTAATCTGGAATTACTGACTCCTCCTCGGTTGGATTTAACTCATATTCGATCGAACTATTCAACTCTCCTACGTGAAAGGAATGACCAACCAACTAATAATTCTCAATTCTCTACCATCAAGTCAACTAAGTTTTATAAAAGAACTGAACAACAAGCAAATAGTAGCACAGATTTATTCAGTTCGGAATACTCTGTGCCTTTTGCGCCTTATCAAAATGTTTGAATTAAAATTTAGTTACTTGCTGAATACTGTAATATTTAGAGGAAAAATAGTACAATTTTTGGAAA